GCACAGATACTTACTGTTGATGTTGGTAACATGAAGCTGAATGTCAAAAGGCATGTTATTTAAAACGGCACAGTGGAACAGAATGCAGGATTACCAGGCGTATTCACCTTTCTTATGGGGTGGGGTGGGGAATGATATCACAGATTACATCTACTTCTGAGAAAGGTTATTTTTTTAAGCAGAAGCACTAAAAGGAAAGTACTCAAAACACTTTCCAAGGGGTAAAGAAAGACAAGACAGTGTTAAGGGAATAAATGACCAGATCCTCAATTTCCATTTGTATTTTTTTCCTAAAACTGCTGGGAGACACCATCTCCCATTCCCCATCTTCCACTGGATAAAATAAGGGCAGATTTTCTCACCTGCCATGAACCTTACTTATGTGATGTCAAAACTTTCAAGTCATCTAAGAAAAGGACAAGTAAAATAGCAATATAAACACTCCCAGATTTCTGATGGGATTACTTCTCAATAAACCCATCATACACTGAATACATCATACATTGAAAATGCTTTGAATACGCCTAAACTACTGATCATCATAGCTTAGCCAAACCTAACATAAACTGCTTAGAACACTTAATTTTATTATTTTATTATTTTTTAAGGGAGATTTTTTTTCTATAGGGCATGTGTGCTCACCAGAGAAATACAAAGCAAGAAATCACCCTCCCCACCCCTCCCACCGAGGGATGGTCAGACCACAATCCCTTCTTCTCCATTCTCCTCTTAGAATATTGGGCACGCACTCTGGAGTGAGTTTTAAGCCACCAGGACTGGGACTTGAACTGCAGTTGACTACATGAGAGTGCAGTGACATAACCATTTCACCATCTGCTGGGCCCAGAACACTTTATTAGCCTAGAGATGGGCAAACTCTCCCCACCGAGGGATGGTCAGATCACAATCCCTTCTTCTCCATTCTCCTCTTAGAATATTGGGCACGCACTCTGGAGTGAGTTTTAAGCCACCAGGACTGGGACTTGAACTGCAGTTGACTACATGAGAGTGCAGTGACATAACCATTTCACCATCTGCTGGGCCCAGAACACTTTATTAGCCTAGAGATGGGCAAACTCTCAATGCAAAGCTTATTTTATAATACAGTATTGAATAGCTCACGTAATTTATTGAATTCTATACTGAAAGTGAAAACCAGTATACATGCAATACCAAATGTGCATTGTTCTCACACCATTGAAGTCCTAAACTGAGCCATGGTTAAGTCAAGGGCACTTTGTACCTGTGAGTTTCCTTGAACCAGACAGTGTGGTAGGGCTTTAGTCCTAAGAGCCTAATCAGAGTGAAGCATGGAAGTAGAAAAGAGGGTATCTGAGGCCATATTGAGCTGTTCCAAATGTATTCACACACTGAAAAACGATGCATCTAATAAATGGAATGGGAGCAATGATAGTTGCTATTTAATGAGCCTGCCTCTTTCCTTCCGATTATTCCTCAAATGTTACCACCATTCAGTCAACGTCCTGTAAGGACAATTTCTCGAGGTAAACATGGAGCAGGGCTTTGTCTGCTGTCCTCCTCCCCTCCCCATCCATCCATCCATCCATCCATCCAGGATGATCGTGACAGAGGTGCCTAGTAACATTAACTGATCTGAAAAGTGGTATCAGACCTTCACTGATCGCAAGCAAGTCCAGTGTGACCACCTGGTTTGACAAGGAGGACTGACTTTGTCAACTAGATTATACAGCAGAAACGAACGAGCTACATTAGCGGCCCTAATGTCTTGACAGAAATATATTTTAAAGTCGTAAGATTTTAAAACACTTTACCAAAAACGGATACTGACAAATGGTAATTAATGCTACGTTATTTATCTTGTGTTCAAATTTTTGAGTTAAACGGCTGCCTCTAAGTAAGAGAAGAATAAGTTTAATTAACAATAGTTTGAGAAGTTGCTGTCTAGCCTTTTTAATATACTTGCCCAAAACTGAAAAAGTAAATACCTCTAAGGACTGCTTAACAATTTCTTTAGTAAATCCGGTAATTTCCAATTCTTTAGCTTCAACACAATGAAAGAATCTAATTGAGTTGTCATTTTGGGGACAGAATTGTTAAGAATTCAAAGAATTAAGTGGCATTATAATACTAAAACCCCTACAGTCCCATGTTTCTATTCATGATTTCTCAGTTCCTCATGTATTTATCTCATAATTTCTCAGTTTATATCTCTAAAGATAAAAAAAAACCAACACAAAAAAGGCAAAAAGCATTGTTTCTCCATTTATTCAAAAGCTAACTTTTTAAAAGCCCATCCATGCTAGCCTGCAACTTCAATGCAATTTCTATTTCACCATTATTTTGAAGGCAGCCTCAAAACCTAGCGGTGAAAGGGAGCCAGATTCCACAGGCATTACCACTGCACCACAGAGCAGGCCCTCTTTTTAAATATATGTATTTTAAAAACTATGTCTCCCATGAGAGACAAAGAGAATGGCACCCCCACAGGGCCTCAAGCCACTATCCACCCTCTGCCTCAGCCAGCTCAGATCATGGACACAGGCACACACGCCTACATGCTCAGAGCAGTGGGGCCTTAGGACTCAACTCCAGTTGTGTTACTGCTGCCCCACTGTCCAGATCTCGCTGTATTTTTTTTTTTTTAAGTATTTGTCATACGGTATGTGAGTTTGCTGGAGAGAGAGGGAGGGAGAGTGAGAAATCATCCCCCAGAGGGTATAGCCATGCTGCAATCCCTTCTTCTCTTGGGATTTTGGGCATACATGGACAGATGCCCATTGTGATTTTCGAGCTGCCAGATCTGGGACTCGAACTGTGATCAGCCAGCTGGGAGTCCGGTGCCTAAACTACCATGCCACCTGTGGTCCCTGGATATTCTTTTTTTTCCTTAATCTAATTTAAATCTAATTTATTTAAAAGGCTGGTCAATGAGTTAGTTAAGCATAGAAAAAAGTTTGATATTTCCTGTTTAAGTTCATTGTTTCTAAATATTTCTCTTTGTGGGATAAATTTTGATATTATTAATTTGGCCTACCTATCGTAAGAATATTTATGTTCCTCAAAGGTCATATGTTGAAATCCTCAATCCCAAGTTGATAGTATTAAAGATGGGCCTCTGGACATGGATACAGAACTTTCATGAACGGGATTAGTTATTAAAAGAGGCCCTAGAGAGACCTCAAACCCTTCCAGCATGAGGTTAGAGTGAGAACATAGCTATTTGTGAGGAAGTGGGTCTTCATCAGACACTGAATCTTTTGATTCTTGATCTTGGACTTCCTAGCCTCCAAAACTGTGAAAACATAAACTTCTGTTTTTTATTAACCACCCAGTTTGTGGTATTTTGTTGCAGCAGCCCAGACAAAGATAAGTCAACGAAACTCTACCCAGGATATTCTTTTTTAATTTCCAGAGGGCACATGGAGTTACGAGAGAGACAGAAGAGTAGGGAGAGGGAGAAAGCACGTTCCAGTAGGACATGGACATACCACAATCCCTTCTCCATTTCTCCCTATCAGGAGTTTGGGCAAGTACACACATGTACCCAACATGACTTTCAAGCCCCTGGGACTAGGACTCAACCTGTGGTTGGCCACATGAAATCCATCTTACACTGCACAGTGCAACCCTGCACTATGGGGCCAGTCATCTTGCTGGATATTCTTTTTTTTTTTTTTGGAGAGGTTTTTGCTATAGGGCGCGTGTGCTTGCCAGACAGACAGAGAGAGACGGAGAGACAGAAAGCGAGAAATCACCCCCCAGGGGGGATGGCCATGCCGCAATCCCTTTTCCTCCATTCTCCTCTCGGGACCTTGGGCATGCACGCACACACGTCCGGCGTGAGTTTAAGCCTCCGGGTTTGGGCCTCGAACCGCAGTAGACTACATGGGAGTCTAGCGACATAGCCACTACGCTAACTGCTGGTCCCCCTTGCTGGATAGTCTTGAGCCAAAATGGCAACCAGTGAAATTCAGGTCTGTGTGCTGGGGTCTTTGCACTTTTACAAGCCCTGGCAGGGATGATGTGACCCAAAACTCTCTCTGAAGTGTTGCAGGGAGTCAGGCTGCCCCTCACCCCCAGTTCCTTCTCCCCTGAGCACTGCCTGGGAACACCCCCTAACCTCAATATTTATCCCCCTTATTGTCCTCTCGGGTGGGACATGGCTTAGGAAAAACAAAGAGGTCTGAAGCTTCTAACCCAGGATGGTTTCTTGTCAGGAGGTTCCACTCACTGCCTCTTCATGATCAAGGTTAAGGTAAAGTACAAATGCTCTCTGTCCCTCCAGCCCTACTTTTACACAGAAAGCACAGCAGAACCATTACACCAGTGTTGTTGGACATGCCTGGATTCTCAGCTCTGCTCTACCATTTATTAACCGTCATCAGAAAGCTGGGCTGTTAAACCTTAGTGCTCAGTTTCTCTACCTATCAAAGGGTGAAAACAAAAGAACCATTCCCTAAGATTACACGGACTAAATCTAATAATACTAAGGTAGAGTACAAGAGTTTAATAAATAAGGCCATTATTATTATGGAATGTCAATCCAGTATTTTAAAGGTGAATTCAAGAAAAAAAAAAAAGGTAGGAAGGAATGGACAGGATGAATCCCCTTCATCAACAGAATGCCACTGAAGGCACAGGGTAGGAGTAAGACATCTAAAAGCCTCTGCCCCCTGGCTCTGCCTTTCAGCCAAGGAAGGTCTGCAGTGAAAGTGACTGTCCATCACCTATTAAGAGAACAGCCCCATTTCTGGAAACTGTCACCGAGACACTTGGCCACTGGGCAAGAGATTCCCACAGCTTGGCTCCCCCATTCCTGAGTGTCCCTTCATAAACAAGATGGTGCACATGTGGAAACTCATGGTGTCAGAGCCATCAAGAGGCTGTGCAAACTGCCATGCACAACATGAATCACTTTCTCTGAACAGCCCCTTCCCATAGGTGGGTGGAGATGGCTGAAGCATGACAGGTTCAAGTGGCCAGGGTCCCTGATGAACCCATCCAGGGAAGAAACATACCTGAAGAGCGATGGGATGAATGAAGACCGGTCTGGTTTAGCATCAACAGTGTCTTTGCTTGCTGAATCCCCAGCTCCGGGCTCCCCATCACAGCCCTGATCATCTGCCATCTGGAAGGAGAAAAACAAACCAGAACACTGGTATTCAGTGGCATAAATGGCCTTGTGCTTTTATTTTTTCTCTAGGTTTTTGCCACACAGCATGTGTGCTTGCCACAGAGAGACAGAAAGAGACAGACAGGGAAAGTGAAAAATCACCCCCCAGGGTGATGGCCATGCTGCAATCCCTTCTCCTCCATTCTCCTCTCCAGATTTTGGGCATGCATGCACATGCACCTGGTGTGACTTTCAAGTCACCAGGTAGGGGACTCAAACCATGTTCAGCCATGGGGGAAGTCCAACGCTCTAACCATTACGCCACCTGTTGGCCCACCTTGTGCTATTTTTAAATGACACTCATGGAGTGACATAATTTTAATTAAGTCTTGGTGTGAGCAGTCTTACATATTTAAGCTCCAGAGTTACTGCTCCATTGATGCATGTAGTTGTGTGCTATGAAACAATGTTTAGGTCATGACAGACTGCATATAGGACCTGGGTCCTGCAAGACTGGATTACGCTGTACCAGGCAGCCTATGTGGTAGAGGCTGTACCACTGAGGCTTGTGTAAGTACACGCTATGATGTTCGCACAATGACGAAATGACCTAACAACAGAAACCATCCTTGTCACTAAGTGACACATGACTGTATCGAATGCCAACTCTATTCCAGGCATCACTCCAGAGATTGGTAGGAGAGCAGTGAAGAAAACAACATCCTTGCCCTTAGAGCATGTCTCAGCTAGTATCCATGATTTTGTTAAACGTTCACTGCCTACAAGAAACTGTAAAGTCTGACAAGGTTTGCAATAAGAAACTCCCCCTAAATTCCTGGCAGGCCATACAGTGCTCATCTTTTATCCAGAATCACTTGAATACACTCCAAAAACAGAAACATGGGGCACTAAGCTCTCCTTCTGTTTCAGATGATTTTTTATGATTCTATCCAAAATAGATTTCCATGCAATTATTTTCCTGCTCAAGAATCTTCAAGGTGGGGGGACCAGCAGTTAGCGTAATGGCTATGTCGCTGGACTCCCACGTGGTCAACCACGGTTCGCGTCCCGGACCCGGTGGCTTAAAACTCACACCGGGCGCGTATGCGTGCATGCCCAGGATCCCAAGAGGAGAAGGGATTGCGGCGTGACCATCCCCCCTGGGGGGTGATTTCTCGCTTTCTGTCTCTATATCTCTCTCTGTGTGTCTGGCGAGCGCACGCGCCCTATAGTGAAAATCTCTCCAAAAAAAAAAAAAAAAGAGAAAGAATCTTCAAGGTGGGGTGACACGGTGGCACTGTAGTAATACAATTAGACCCACATGAGAAAGATCCTGGGCTCACATCCCAGAATATCCCTGAGTATGCCAGGTGCACACACATGCCCGTGATGCAGGCCAGTTGGGCTGGAGATTGATCACAGCGAGGACACTGTTGAAGGAACCCCCTCTGTATTTTTGTCTTCTCTCCCAGAAAGAAAGAAACTAAAAAAAGTTAAAAATCTTCAAGAGATCCCCAGTATCTGAAAGTTCAAACCTAACCTCATCTCCTTGGATTTTAAGACCTTTTTTTCATCGAGTAAAGGAGTCAGTCCTGATCACAGCTCACACATATTTTTGTAAACAGTTTTCTTGGCACTCAGTCACGCCCATTCATGTATCGTCTATGACTGCTTTCTCTCTACAAGCAGAGTTGAGTGATAATGGCCATAGCCAAAAATATTTACTACCTGGCCCTTTATCCCACCCTCCACCTTCATCCTCTGCACAACTCTTGTATTTATCCTGTTTGTTTGCACTCTGCTAAGTGCTTGGCCCCCAGGGGGCGATTTAAGTTCATTATGACACAGATCCCTAGCACACAGAAGGTACTTACTAAATAAATATCAACCAAATGAAAGAATGGAAGAAATGAAATGTCCCAATGGAAAATAATTAGTTTAAGGTGATACAGCTGGTCTGTAGCAGAGCCAAAACTAGAATAATTTCTCCTAAACCAAATGCTGTTGACTTCCCCATGAAGGGCTTAGAGATTAGTTCTCCACATCATAGAGAGACTCTAGACTCCAATTTCTACTTAGTCCCAACCTTGGAGCAACTTCCTCAAGCAGGCTCCAGCTATCAGGCACAGTTCTGTATTCCTCTTAGCCGCCCCCCCCCCCCAAGAATGTTTCACTTGGTTGGAAAACAAGAAGGCATCTATTTTACGGAATATTATTATTATTATTATTTTGCCCCAGAGCACAAGAATGACTTTTGGAGGTGGGAAGGAAAAAGGAATCCAGCTCAGAGGGAGTTGTTCAAGGAAGCAAAGTGACAACCTGGCTGTGAGCTCTAAGTGTTATGATGGTGCTACTTATCAGTTAACCCGAGGAAAAGCTGTGCAGTGTGGAGAGGACCAAGAAGCAGGGCAAGTTCTATGGTCAGATTTTAACAAAGACTGCAAGAATCAGAGAGCTGTCTTATTTTTCAATACATCACGAGACTCCCTATCATTGCCATTGATACGTTTCTGGTTGGGAAGCAGATTTTTCAGATTAGGACCCAAAATAGAGATAAGCCTATCCACAGAAGAGATAGGCATAATGCCAGGCACACAGAAAACATTCAATAATGTGCATCTCCTTTAGATAGACTTAGTGCTCTTTCAACATCGATGGTTATTATCTAAGCATTCACATAAGTATTTTTGAAATGAACAAGTCGAAGTCTTACAAAGTCCACTGGAAAAAGACACTAACTTTAAGTCATGACCTTTTTTGCTGAAGTTAATCTTAAAGGCTGAGTCTAGGTTGTATGATGATGAAACACTGTGACTTCTATAAAAAAAGAAGAGAGAGAAGAGACATTGGCATGACAGCAGAATAGGAGGATCTAGCCTTCATCCTTGTGCAGAAACACTGATCTGGCAACTCCCCATGGACCAGAATATCTCTGTGGGAGAGTGGGAGTCTACTGAGAGGTTCCAGCACACTGGTGGAACAAAAATATCCAAGAGCAGATGCACTGGAGAGTGTAAGAAGAGCAGTTTCACTTTACCTATGTCACTCATCCACCAGGTGCCCTTTAGCTCTCAATTCTCCCCAAGGTAAAGTGAGAGCAAAGTGAGCACCTAGCTTCCAGACTTACTGCTGCCCATGTGGCCCACACTCATCTCATCACATCCAGAGTACAGGAGAGACTAGTGTGGCCAAGTTGTCTGGGGGTAGCAAGGAGCAGGGAGAGTAGGAATATAAAACAATAAGAAAACTTCCTAAATCTGGGGACAAAAATGAATATCCAGATCCATAAAGCCCAAAGAGTCTCAAATAGATGAAACATAAAGGCACATTATAATCAGGCAGTTAAAAGTCAAAAGTCAAGGAGAGAATCTTAAAAGTAGCCAAAGAAAAGTGACTCATCACATGCAATGCACTATCCATAAGACTATATGCAAATTTCTCACCAGAAACCGTACAGGCCCAGAAAAATATATTCAAAATGCTAGGAAGACACACACACACACATCTGCCAATCAAGAATATTATACTTGGCAAAACTGTCCTTCAGAAATGAAAAAAAGATAAAGATGTTGCCAGACAACTAGAAGCTGAAGAGTTTCAACACCACTAGGCCTACCTTATAAGAAAAGCTAAAGGGAATTCTTCAAGTTGAAATGAAAGGACATTAATTAGCAACATGAAACTATAAAAGTTACTGGTAGAGGTAAATAGTATATAAGTAAATTTGGAATACTCAAATACTGTACTGGCAGTATGTAAATCATTAATTCTATTATAAAAGTTAAAAGACAAAAGTATTAAAAGTAATTGTAGCTTCAAGTACTATAGCTACAATAGCTGTTAATGGATATATATATATGGACAAATGGAATATCAATAACATAAAACATGAGAGGAGGGAGGAAAAGCATAGCATTTTTCGTATGTGACTGAAGTTATGCCGAATGCTGTGTCTCCCCCCAAATCCATATGCTGAAATCTAATCTCCAATGTAATGTTATTAGGAGGTGGGGAATTTGGGATGTGATCAGGTCCCATGGTTAAAGCTCTCGTGAATGGGATTACTGCACTTAAAAAAGAAGACCAAAAGAGAGTTGCCCTGCTCCTTTCCACCAAGTGAGGATACAGTGAAAGTGTATCTATGACCCAGAAAAATCGTCCCTCACTAGGGTACTTTGATCTTGGATTTTCCAACCTCTAGAACTATGTGAAATAAATTTATGTTGTTCTCAGTCTATAATATTTTGTTATGGCAGCAGCCCAAATGGTCTAAGACAATTGTTATCAAGTTAAAAGAGACTGCTATTACTATAAGACATTTTATGTAAGCCTCATCATAATCACAAAAAATCTGTAGCTGGTATACAAAAATCAAGATAAAAGCAACAAAGCATTCTACTACAAAAATTGTCCAATCATAAAGGAAGATAGCAGCAAAAACAGGAAGGTATGAAGAAACTATAAAATGGAAAACAATTATGAAATGTCAATAAGCAGCCCTTATTTATCAATAATTACCCTAAATGTAAATGGACTAAATTCTCCAATCAAGATACATACAGAGTGAATGGCTTAAAAAAGCAAGAGCCAACTATATACTTCCTATAATAGACTCACATTAGACTTAAGGACAACATAAGCTGAAAGTGAAGGGATAAAAAAAAATTCCATGCAACTGGTAACTAAGAGAACAGAGGTGGCTATATTTGTATTAGACAAAACAGATTTTAAGTTAAAAACTGTATCAAGAGGCAAAAAAAAAGTCATTAGATAGCATGTGGGGGGGGATCAAATCACAAAGAAGATATAATAATTATATTATGCATCCAACATCAGAATACCTAAATATAAAAAGTAAATGTTAACAGAATGGTACAGAAAGAAATAGACAGTAATAAGAAACATTAGAGGACTTTAGCCATCAGATAGCCCACTTTCAACAATGGATGGATCATCTAGACAGAAAATCAATTAAGAAACAGTGGGCTTGAATACTACAAACCAACTGGACCTGG